TTATTGTAGAGATGAGGTCTCACCAAGTCCAGGCTGGTCTTGAACCCGTGAGCTCAGGCTGTCCTCTCACCTTGGCCTCCCAAAGTGCTGGGATTATAGGCGTGAGCCTCCGCGCCTGGCCGAGAACTTTTTAAAAAAATAAATGATTGCTGCTTCACTGAGAATACACCTCTACAACTCAAAATATATCCTTGCTAAGATGATCTATTCATTATTTTATTGCTCCTTAGTAAAATTACTCCAAAATCTGTTGGCTTAGAACAACCATTTACTTACACTTGACTCTGGATGTGCATGTTAAACTGGGCTTACCTGGGTTGTTCTTCCACTGGTCTTTTCTGGGTTTACTCCTTTGTTTGCAACCACTTGGTGACTGGGTTAGCTGGGTTGCCAAAATGGCCTCTCTCTCAAGTCTGATGGCTAGTGCTGGCTGTTAGTTAGCCTCCATTTCCCCTCCTCCCCCATCTATGCTTTTGTCCAGCTTGCTTTATGTGATGGTCTTCAGGGCAGCGAGAGTGGAATCTGCAAGTCCACATTATGTTGGCCAGAGGAACTCACAAAACCTGCCCTGATTCAAAAGGTGGGACGATAGCACCCACGTGTTGATAAGAGGTATAGTTAGGATCATTTTTACTGTAGTACAGATGACTTCTGTTGAATATGTCCCACAAAAAAAAGAAGTCTCATTACTTTGTGTTGACTTGTGAGAATTAAATGAAATAGTGTATACTATACCTGACACATACTGCTTTTGTATGTTAGGCGGTTTGTATAGTTATACCTTGTATGCATGTGACTTGTAAAAAATTTGTTGACTTCCTTTAAATCATCTTAAAAGGATTTTTTTGTAAAGATAACTTTGAAATTACATGAAGCAGTCATAAATGAAAATGTATAAAAAAGTATTTTGTTTTGTTTAAGTGCTGAATTTAGGAAAGAATAGCTTTAATTTAGATATAAAAATTCTGAAACACTTCGGCATGTGAATTTTGAGAGTAGAATTCTAAAGTAAATTACCTGACAGTTTTTATATTGCAAAGGAAACTCGACACAAAATATTGTTTTGAGGAAAAGAGTAGCCAGGTTCTATTATAATTTATAGTCAAAGTATGTAGTGGGAAATAACCAAGAAAATATACCTCAGTAGACAAAAATCACAGGCGAAGATTTGTTGATTTTATTTTTTTTCATTTGGAATTCCTTTTTCTGTCAGTTTTTCAGGAGGAGATACACATACATATATACAGATATTGTATATCTGACTTATGCTTTTGAGAGATTCCTTGTACACAAAAGCACTGAACTATTTCATTGTAACAGTACTGTTTACAGTATATTTCTCACGAATACCTGAATCCGTTTCAAGTTGTCTTCACATGTGTATATAAAACTTATTTTATTATGCATACTATGCGAAATATTGATTTCATACCTTTAAAACTTGTAAAAATATTTGTTTATTGTGATGACTTTGTTCTTCAGTGTTAGGTAAATTTGTAAACTATATTTTTCAGAATTCTTATTGACTATAAACTTCTCAGTCACTCTTATATAGAGCCTTCGGTTTAGGGTTTACTTTATTATTTTTCCCCTTGAGTAGAGCAGAGAGCAACTTCTAGAAGCAGTGCATTTTAATTACAAGTTAAGAATCATTCACTCTTTAAAAAGAGAAAGAAAGAAAAAAGCATTTACAGTTTGACCTTCTTCTGTTACTTCCAGAAGTTCCCAAGCTTTTGTATCATGTTTTTCGAAGCACCCAAACTGGTTTAATACTTAGTGCATTTCTGAAAATGAAGAGAAGTTGTGTGTTATAGGAGAGTTTTTCCCCTAGCTTAAACTATCGTTAGAAAAACCCGTGCATGCCTGTAATTCTGGCTACTTGGAAGACTGAGGCGGAAGGATCGCTGGAGCCCAGCAGGTCGAGGCTGCGGTGGCTGGAAGCGGCCACTGCACTCCAGTCTGGGTGACAGAGTGAGACTCCAACTCAAAAAAAAAAAAAACACCCCTAATTATAATTCATTTCAATTGTAGTTTTTGATGATGATGTCGATGATGTATCTACAAGGTCCATAGACTTTGGTTCACAGTTTTTCTTGATCATCTTAAGTCCAGTGAATATGTGTGGATTTGTTGCTTTTGGCATACCTCATAATTTCTCATCTTTCTTTCAACTGTATGGGGTCTGAAATCTACATTTCTTTATACCTTTAATTTTTTTATTCCCTTTTTTCCTTTCAAATAAGAGAACATGCAGTACAACTTTCAAGCACAGAGTAGTACTGTATAAGAATGAAGGTGTAAATATTGCAACAACTGCAGTGCTTGGCTGAGAGATGGATCACTCACGGATAATCCTGAGTGTGTACTCTTGTTTTGAGAAATATAATCCCCAATTCTGATATACTAAAGACATATGGGGGGTGGAAATCAGAGTAAGACTTGGGAAAATGTAGGCTGTAAAAAAAAAATCAAAGCATGCCTATTATTTACTTTTTGCTAATTCATGTTAAACTCGTGACCAAATTGGTGAAGATTTTTCGAGTTTTCTTTTAATTTACTTTCAAGTCAATTGAGTGAAAGATAATTTTGAGAATTTTAAATATTTAGTGGGTTCAAAACCAGGTTTGTTATCTACTCTTATAAAACTACGGTACAGTGAAATTAGCATAATCTCACTGTTTGAATAACCGATTTAATTTTATCTAACTTTTCATTATTTAAAGCTTGAAGTCTTTATCACTTGCCTCAAACAAGGGATGTAGAACTTATATTTTTCTTTACAAGGATATTTATTTTTGTCAGTTGCATTTAAGAAGATTTAAAATGTTGAGTTCCTTTCATATTCCGCATCCCTTTAAAAATATTCTATTATGACAGTTTTCAAACATAAAAAAGAGTGAATCATGATCACATATCTGTGCATACCTTAGTCCATTAATCCATTTTTTTCCTGATGAGTTCAAGGTAGTTGTGGGCATCAGTATAATTCACCCCTAAATACTTGAGTATATACCTCATTTAACTCGATTTCTGTCAGTTTTTACAATTTTATGAAAAATAAGGTGTTCCCATGGGATCTGTCCTGATCTTAATTCTGTAAGGCTAAGGCTAATTTACAGTTACATTATGTCCTTCACTGCTTTTTTTTTTTTTTTCCTAACAAAAGGCTCTTCTCAGAAGGTGTATAGCACATGATTAGCAAAATTCAAAAGCAGGTTGTAAGTTTATATGCCTTATACCTATGCTTTAGTTTTTGTTTTCTATAAGAAATGTTGCATGAGAATGTCTCATGCAAATTGAATCTTATTCAGTGGATAAAATTCTAAAATTAAGAAGTAAAGGTTGAACCTAATCTGTAAGAATCAAGTATGGCTGAAGCCAAGGAAGCAGGTTTAAATATTGTAAGTAAGTAGACTTGAGGGGCTTATCTTAACTATATTTGGGTTTTGTTTTCCATTTTGAAAAAAAATTATTTTAAGCAGTTACCTCTTTTGACTATATTTTAATATGATTCCAGTGTCTAAAAATTAATTAGACATTTTTAATTATTAAAATAGAAAAAAATCTATTCAAATTTTGGTACAAATAAAAACTCTTGACTTACCTTCTGTTACATTACATTAGTTCTTAGAATAACTATTGTATTTTCTGTGGCATAGCCTTTGTGATCTTTAATGGGATTATTTAAGTCCCAAATACAGAGACTATTTGGGGATTGCTCTTTGACTAAGTGCTTGGTCCTGGACATTTCTGCTAGCATGGCCTTTTGGAGAGAGAGTTCCTCAAGGTGTAGTTTCTTCCAGAGACTCCTCCCTTCAGAAAGGATTTCTACATGGGTGGCATTTTAAGTGATCTTTCACTTTCTTTTGTATTTTTAGAAAATAATTCAAAATTTATAAATAGCAACTCTAATATTAAACTGCTCTTCAGTATGTCCATATTTTTGTTCTACAGAGAATTATTAATAATCTGAAAATGAATATATTTGATTGAAAATGCTAATATTGATCTCTGGTATTACCTGTAGTTGAGCTTACTGTTCTTTCTTTCCTCTAGCATATTTACCACATAAGACATATTGAATGCTTACCTTAATACTAGATTCTTAGCAATCCTAGAACTATTTAGATATCTAAGCTGATGTGTACAGGCCTTGAGCACTTGCAAAATTACTTATCTAAAACATATAAGTAAACTGTTAGCATTCCATAGATTTAATGAGTGTTTACTCTGTGTGGGTAGACATTTCACCCTTTTTTTTTTGTAAGTCAAAGCCTCACTGTCACCCAGCAGGCCAAAGTACAGTGACATGATCACTGCTCACTGCAACCTCAAACTCCTGAGCTCAGGCAGTCCTCCCACCTCAGCCTCTGGAGAAGCTGGGACTGTATGGGTGCGCCACCGTACCTGGCTAACTTGCCGATTTTTTTTGTGGAGACAAAGCCTTGTTCGGTTGCCGAGGCTGGTCTCGAACTCCTTGGCCTTCCCAAATGCGGGGATTGCAAATGTGAGCCACTGCGCCTGCCTCAAATCAGTCCTTTATGGACATTTTTCTATTTATTGCTCACACTAGCCCTGTCTTCAAAGCCCCTGAATGGTTACACTCAGTTGTACTGTCTTTCAGTAAGTCATGCTATTTGTGTCAGATTGGGTGAATTTGACATAGTGGAATCGTATCTTAATAGTCTTTCTTGAAAGTTTTAGAATTCGTGTATTTTGATACTTCACGGAAAAAAATGGATACTGAAACCAACATAGTAGATGTTTAATGCGGTCAGTGTGGTCAACCACATATATTTTAATTCTCTTGAACCTGTGAGAGGTATCATCCCAATTTCACCATTGAAGATGCTAAAAATAGTAAATTTAGTGGTAGAACTGGGATTCACCTTCTGGTTGAACTTGAAGCCATACTTTTTCTGTTACATAACCTTATACATGAGATTGTTTGTTTGTTTTTTCCACTTTATCCATATACAAATTTTCCAGAACAATGATTTGGGACTTAAACAAATGAAATGAAAGACACTTTATGTTCATTTATTAAAAAAGGCTTTTTGGAGACATTTATAAAAAGCACTGCACACTAGAAAATGAGAAAACTTCCTTGAAAAAATACAGATCAAAAGACCTAGCTTTGTTAAACTTGTTGCTCACCTCATCTTGATGTAGGAGATGTGGTTTCTCTCCAATTTGTGATTTTTCTATCTTCTGTTTTCTCTTCTGTAAGATAAATATTTTGATTAAGTGACATTTATTGCAGGAATACTTTTAGGTTATGTAAAAATGTGAGATTCCTTGAGTTCTTAAGACTAGATGGGATAATTTTTTTAGTTATGCCACTGTTGCTTTGGGGAACTAAGGAGTAAACTGAAACCGTTTCTATAATGTTTATAGCACAGTCATTTTTATTATCTAGAGAGCGATTATCTACATTGTAGTTCATCCTAATTTCACTTTGACAGTGTCTACATGTTCTTTTGAATTACTTGCTGAGTTGGTGAGTTTTTGTTTTTGTTATTTTAAAAAAATTGACAGCCCCCTCTGCTCACAGAACTTTCAGTGCTCTGGTTTCGCCTGAAGCCTGCATCCTAGCAGGGGGCCCCTGGAAACCCTCCTCCCCAGAAAGGGTTGAAGACAGGCATCTCAGCATAGGCTGGTGTCTGGTATTGCTCACAAAGAAGGGCTGTTCGTTTCTAGCAGATGTAAGAACTGAATAGGCTCAGGATATGGCAACATGACCATCTCTGCCCTATAGAATTACTCTTTTTTTGTCTGAGATTAGTTTATTTGATAGCTCTGTTTTGATATAATATGAACCAGACTTGAAAGCCAGATTGGAGTGTGTTTTCTATTACCTCTGCCTAATTTTTTCTACCTCCTGATTGATTCTCCCTCACCTCAATCACGTTGTATTAATAATTGAAGAGTTGATGACACCACATTTTTGAGCCTAAAGTTTTCTTACAAGGACGAAGACATCTGATCAGATTTCTTGCTCATGATTTCGCCTTTACGGCCAGTGTGTATTCACACGAAAGCTTTGTGGGAGCTCTTCTTCCTTCATGGGAGTCCCTGCTCACCTCCAAACATCAGCCCCTCCTTCACCGCCTCCCTAGCTCTCCCGTTTTGTGGAGTCTTGACAGGGACTGAGTGTGAGTGTTCTACTTCTGTAAGCTGCGGTCCCTTGGAGAGGCTTAATTCTTCAATAAATGCCATTGCTAAACTTTGTAAAAACAGGATTTTGAAATAAAAAAAAGTTTAATCTTTAAATTGCTAAAATTAAATTTTGATTAGCTTGTCTTATGATACATAGCCTACTGGAAAAAGTATTAATTCATATATTCATTTAGTTATTTGGTGTTTTTTGTCAACAGGAAGAAGGTAGATAATGACTATAATGCCCTTCGAGAAAGACTCAGTACCTTGCCTGATAAGTTGTCTTATAATATCATGGTATGTTTGGTGTGTTTCTTTTAAAGTAATATGTTGTTTTTGTAAACATATTAACTGTGTGAAATAATATGCTGTTTCTTTGCTATATGTGCATTGGTTCACAAATTGCCAAGCCTATGAGGTAACTACTCTAGCAAGGAAGATTTATTTTGTTTTACTTTGTAACATACACTAGTTGTAGTAATAATTGGTATTTACTTTTCTTTTTTTCAGATACATATAAAATCACATCATGGTAACATAAATATTAGTGCAAAATCTGACATTTCATATGGAAATTTACTATATTAAAAAACCGTAATTATGACAGATATATGGCACTTAGTTATTTCCTGTTAGCCAGAGCGGGAATAGGCCATACTGTTTTGTAATTCACAGAATTAAACCTTAGGACATTGATTTTTATATAAAAAGGTGCTGCTAATTTTTGTTTTAATGATCTTCGTATCGACATAGTGATCTGTTCATAGCCCTAGATTAGAATCTTTTATTATATATAATAGTTTTCTCATGAAGATTTTGTTCTTGTTATAGTAGCCCAAATATTTTGTGTATGTAGCTAGGTAGATCCATTAAAACTACTAATTTAGTAATTTCTGTTTGCAAAAAATGACTTATTAAAAATATTTTTTAGTTTTCTTAAATTATTTTTTAGTATTTCATTACTAGTTACTTTCATTTAGATTTTCAAGTGAATGAAAAGTATAAACAGAGACAATACTAATTTCTGTAAGAGCTATGTGTAAATAAGATGTAGATTTATTTTCCTGTTTTAACATTAATTTATTAACCTAAAGCAATTTTCTGCTGTTTTTCCTAGTGAAATTTTAATATAATGTTAACTTTCTGTGAAGTTGGCATTTTATTTTTCCCAGTGTATAGATAAAGAGCTCAATGGTATTTATTATAGGTCTTTTAATGCAAAGTGTTTCTTAAAATGTATTTTTTTAGTGTTTTAATTTTTTTTTAACCTTTTTCCTTTTTTACACAATAGGTACCATTTGGCCCCTTTGCCTTCATGCCAGGAAAGCTTGTCCACACTAATGAAGTCACTGTTTTACTTGGGGACAACTGGTTTGCAAAATGCTCAGCAAAGCAGGCTGTAGGTTTAGTCGAGCACCGGAAAGAACGTAGGTATCAATTATAAATGGTGTTTCTTTGTTTTATGTGTATTGGTTCATGAATTGCCAAGCTTCATGAACTGTTTGTTACCAGAAGTGCAGTCCATGATTTCTTAGTCCAGGTTGTTTGTGAGTCCATTGAATTTTAGGTAGTTTGAGTAGAACCAGAGATTGAGAATGAGGTGGAGAATGGAGTACCTGGTTTGAAAATGTCACTCACGTTGGCACGTTTTCAGGAATTACAAGGTATAAAAATCATTACACATGATTTTGTATGTAGAAGTTGGGAAGACATAAAGATTTGGTCATTTTAGAATTGGTTTGTTCTAATTGCTTTTATAGACTTACTTTTGCATCTAATACTTTAGTACACAGAAGTAATGTATTTTTTGCTTTAGTGAACTAAGAGAAATACCTATTTACACAAGTAGATAATCCTTAAAAAATGATTTTTGGTTTGGAAGAAGTCATATTTTCATTTTAGAGAAGAAGAGACCAGGTGTGAAAAATTGCTACCTAAAACGGTACCGTTATACTTTTTAAGGGTCTGAGAGACTTCATTTGAGGTCTCAGCATCATTTTATTAAGTAAGGTAGGTCTTTCGTTTCTCCATGATATTATTTGTTGGTGTATACATGCCTGCACACACCACATACATTTTACAGTTGGATGAGTTAGTTTGGGTTCTAGCTTAGTTGTATTTTAAAATTAGACTTAATTGATATTGTGTTCTTATTTCTATAATACACATTTAAATTGATAATATAATATCATCCCTACCTGCTTTTTTAACCTTCTCGTTAAATGTGTGTTTGAAAATAAATTTTGTGAGGATACTTTTGTATAAATAAGCTCATATTAGATAGAAAACAGTGAGTTTTCTAAAACTGAAATTGATTTCATTTGTATATGAGCGGATACTAGTTAAAGAACTCATTTGCTCAATGAAATTCTGGGAACTGTATTTGGAGACTAATTGAAAATCAACTCCTGTAAGTTTATAGTTGATAATATATTTTGATCTTTTGTGACACTATTCAGAATCTTATTGTTAGACCTGTGTATAATGTTTGGCAATGATAAATCTTTTGGCTTTTCTATATTATAATAAGCCATGTGTGTTAGAAAGAGAATGGGCATAATTTTTCTTAAAGACCTTACTTAATGGGCAGTCTTTATGTACTGGAGTAGCTCTGCTCGGCTGATACAAAATGAATTCAAAGCCTGTCAAAGTTTGTTCACATTGATTCTTGTATTTTAGTGAAGAAATCTTTAGAATCAGTTATAACTTAAAATATTAACGGAGCGATACTTTTAATACCATAGAAGAGAACTCTAGAGTAGAGAAATGTTATTTGGTAAATCCAATAGTTAAATGTGGTTTTGAAAAGTGACCAAACTTGGTGACTTTTGGGATTAATATTTATCTAAAATAACTTGCAAAGTAACTATTTCCTATTATGTTAAATAAGTTGCATAAAAATGTTTTATGCATGTTTTTAAAATTATATGTTTAGGTATATTGTTGTACTTAGCATTTATTAAGAAAAATTACTTTTTCTGAAAGCAGAAAAATTATAACAATTTAAACATGTATTTATCTATGTCATTATTGACTGGAGTCATGGGGGAAGATAGAGGAAGGTTATTGCATGTCAAAAGAGTAGTAATATTCATAATAAAAAGAGTAGTAATAAAAATTCCTTTTTATTGCTGAGTAGTAGTGTCCATTATATGCATATCTGTCATATGCATTATAACAGTTTTTCTGTTTACCTGTTGAAGAACATTTGGATTGCTTTCATTTTTTTTGATGCTTGTGAATAGAGCTGCTGTAAGCTTTCGAGTTGAGGTTTTTGTGGATTATTTGATTTTTTTAAAAGTATCTTATTACTCTGTTACTGAAACAGGAAATCCTTAAAGCGATTTTTCCCCCCGTTTAAATTTCAGATTCAGGAGGCACACGTGCTTGTTTGCTACATGGACATACTGTGTGGAGGTGGGGATTGGGTCTCAGGAGATTCACTCCCCAGACAGTGAACATTGTGCCCCAGAGGTCATTTCTGAGCCTTGACCCTTTCTCCCCCCCTTTCCCCTTATTGGTGTGGTTGGTGTCCAGGTATTCATATATTTTTACACAAAATTAAAGCTTTACTTTACATATATATTTTGAGATTTACTGAATTCTTTGTTAGGTTTGAGGGCGATTTTTTTCTTTTGAAAGGAATGTGTCTTCAACTAGACTAAGTTAAAAAAACAGTGTTCATCATAGATTTCTATAATATAGGCATCTTTTGGTAATTTTGTTTCTGCTTGTCTTTATAATTCACTTTAAACACTTGTATATAGAATGACTTGAAATTCTAATGTCTAGGCACTATGTGTTTGCATTTTTGGCTGTCACAGCAGGCATTTGGCCACATTTCTAAAGTCCACTCCTTGCTGTTAAATGATTTTATTTATAGGGTGTTTCCTTATAAAGATGTACTGGGGGAATTATTTTATCATAAGTTTTCAAGATGATAAATTAGCTTTTGCTTCAGAGATCTATTTGATCCTTTTATTTTTTACGTTTTTACTTTTGTCTTCAGAAATGCAAGTTTAGTCTTCATTTTTGCTCTGAAGTGATTTTTATTTTTTAGTGGAAGGGTGAACATGAAGGGATAATTTTACGAACTAGGGCAATGGCTATGGGCTTAGAGCGGAGATCAGAAGCAGGAAGAATTTCTGAGCCGGATAGGACTTGGCAGCCGACCGAACGTGGCGGGTGAGGGAAGCAGTGGACGAATGGCAACCTGGAGGCAATGCTGTTAGTAGAAGCAGGTGAGCTTGCAGATCACTGCACACTGCTGCTCCCCCAGCCGACCGTCGCCTGCGTGTCCGCACGTGGAATGCGCTCATGTGTCCGGAACGACAGCAGTCGCCTGCGTTTGTTTACTGTCGTGGGCTCCAGACTTACTTGGTTTTAAGACACTTTTAGAATTTAATGCCTGTTATCTCATGGAGCCCTTTACGGAAAACCTTGGTTTAGGGCTACGTTTTTAGGCGGATTTCAGAAGGAAGAATGTGGATAATAAGAAATTGTTGACGCCAAGTGCAGCCTTGTTTTTTTTTAAGTGATAGGGGAAGAAAGATTATATATGAAGTACATCAGGGCATTCACAGGATGGAGATTTTAAAAATACACTTCTTTTGGGTAGGTTATACATGAGCAAGATACAAAATTTAAAGAGTATTTATTAAAAAATAAGTCTCTCTTCTTCTGACCTTTAACTTCTAGTTTATCTCCCTGAAGGCATTGCTGTTATCAGTATTTTTCGTATCATTTCAGGGACATAATTACACATTCCCACCCTACCATGCACACACCTACTCAAATGGTAGCACACTTTTTTTTGTAGCTTGCCATCTGATTCTTTTAATGGCTACATACCATTATATTATATTGTACCATAATTTATTTAGCCATTCCCTTCCTGATAGATCTTTAGATTGTCTTCAGTTTTTTGGCTGTTAATAACTGCAATAAATAATGTGTGTGTGTGTGTGTGTGTGTGTGTGTGTGTGTCATTTTGGACTTGTGTATCTGTAGGATAAATGGCTATGATTGAATTGCTGGCATGAAGTATATTCACATGATTGGTGAACCATAACCACCATCCAGCTCCAGAATTTTTTCATCTTCTCTATCTAAAAACACTCCATACCCATTAAGTGATAACTCCTCATTCCTCCTTCCCCCAGCCCTTGTAAACCATGGTTCTACTTTCTCTATGAATTTGACTATTCTGGATATCTCATTTAGGTGACATCATAGAGTGTTTGTTCCTTTGTGTCTGAATCCTTTCACTTAGCATAATGTTTTGAAGATTTCTCCATGTTACAGCACATATTAGATTTCCTTTTTTTAAAGGTGGAATAATATTGTGTGTGTGTGTGTGTGTACACACACACACACACACACACACACACACACACACACACAAATATATCGTATTTTGTTTATCCATTCATCTGTGAATACATAGCTTGTTTTTGCCCGTTGGCTATTGTGAACAATGCTTTTATGAATATGGTGCACACATATCTATTCAGTTTTCTGCTTTAAATTATTTTGGGTATATAAGTGGAATTGCTGGATCATATATGGTAATTCTGTGCTTAAATTTTTGAGGACCCTCCATACTGTCTTTCACAGTGGCTATATCATTTTACATTTCTACCAGCAATATATAAGGGATCAAATTTTTCCACATTCTTGCCAACACTTGTTATTTACTGTATTTTTTGATATGAGTCATTTAAATGGATTTGAACTGGCATATCATTATGATTTTGATTTGCTTTTTTCCAGTGATTAGACATGTTGAGCATATTTTCATGTATTTATTGGCCACTTGTATGTCTTTGGAGAAATGCCTATTCAAGTCCTTTGCCCATTTTAAAATTGGGTTGTTTGTTTTTCTTCTTGTGGTAGTTCCTTATATATTCTGGATCTTAGTCTATTATCAGGGCTGTGATTTGCAAATATTTTCTTCTGGTTTATGGGTTGCCCTTTAACTTTTTTCCTCCTTTTTTTGGTAATGACTGCTAGGTAGAGCAGTAGCCTTTCACTGTCTTGATGATGCTCTTTGCTGCACAAAAGTTTTTAATTTTCACTGTCCAGTTCGTCCGGTTTTCTGTTGTTGCCTAAGCTTTTGGTGTGATAGCCAAGAAATTGTTGCCAAATCGAGTGTCATGAAACTTCCCTATGCTTTTTTCTAAGAATTTCATAGTTTTAGCTCTTCATTTGGATCTTTTATCCGTTATGAGTTATGTTTTGTACATGGTGTAAGGTAAGGGTCCAACTTTATTCTTTTGCATGTGGATTCAGTTTTCCCAACACCGTTTGTTGGGAAAACTTAATCTTTAATTAATCTTAATACTCAGTTAAACTTGATCCTTAATCTTTTGAATAGTTTTGGCAACTTTGTCAAGAGTCATTTGATCATATATTTAGGAGAGTTTAT